AGAATTCTCAGGAGAAGGCCATGCCTACACAGAGGCCTCATGGGTTATATCTTGATTGACAGGCCGGACTCCACCCCTTCACTCATAATCCTCTCAAATTGACACCAGATTATGTATCACACTTGTGCAGCAGATTTACCTAATGAAAGGCATCTTGATCTCTTGAGTGTTGCTTCCATAGCATTGATTATGGATCCAAGCAAGACAAAACCCTTGACAACGTCAACAATTTTCACATTTATCCCAATGTTACCTATTGGGGTTACCAGTTGTGAGGATATGGGTCTTGACATTGAGTCATAATCCACAACAAAGGCTGCAACCCTTGATCTTCAGCAGCAAGGGCTCCTCACTTTCAGCAAGTAAGGTTATGTCATCTGCCTATCACAGGTTGTTAATAAGTCTTCCTTCAGTCCTAATGCTGCATTCTTCTTCATATAAGCCAGTTTCTCAGAAGATTTGTTCAACACACAGATAGAGAAAGTCTAAGAGGATACAATCCTGATGCGCATCCTTCCTGATTTTAAACCATGCAGTATTCCTTTGTTCCATTGACACAACTTCCTCTTGATCCAGGTACAAGTTCCAAAGGAGCAAAATGACGTGTTCTGGAATTCCCATTCTTCTAACGGCCACCCATAGGCAATGATGAATCTGATAAACACTTCATAACAGAGATGAATTTGTAAGACATTAGGTTAGCTATGCTAGCAAAGTTAGTCCATTTCAAAAAGGCAAATGTTGTATGAGACCACATATTATTGTCTTTAAAAAAATGGTTTTCACACCAAAAGAGGCAGATATTGTTCAAAGGAGAGTGGGTGGGAGAGAAAAGGAGGTAGGTGGGGAGGGGGGAGAGCACAAATGAAAAAGAGACACACACAGAGGAGCCCACATATAGGGGCACACAGAAGCCACATATAGGGGCACACAGAAGCCCACATATAGGGGCACACAGAAGCCCACATATAGGAGTACACAGAGATATAAACTATTCTCAAAAAAACTCAGGGGCATCTTCTCACTCACAGTGACCCTACAGGACAGATAAAACAGACCTGGTGGGTTTCTAAGATTGTGACTCTTTTTCTTTTTTT